ATAATATTTTAACAATATATAACACGCATTGTAAAACAAACATGGTACATAAAACTAAAATTAAACTATCACTATAACCCTCAGTCGTACCCCAGAGTTCATATAATTTGACCATAAATTAGTAAGTATATTTATTTTAATTATTAATATACTCTGTGTCAATTATTACCTCATTTTGAGGGTTGAAAAAACTTTTGAACACAGGACTAATTGTTTCTCAAATCCCTATAGATTTTCTTACAAAGCGTAAGTTGTTAATATTTTTTATTACTCTAAAATTTGAATATATCGATATTTTAGTCATTTAATAAGCAAAACATTTACTAATGGATGCTTAACGTAGTATAATCGATTAGATTAACAGTATGTTAATCTTGAAGACAGTGGGTTACTTGTTCCACTGACTTTTAGGTTATATATTCAATGACAATAATCCAACTAAAGACTAAGTACCGCATTGAAGGTGACAAGTGTAAATTAGAATTAATTACATTACATTGCACAAAGAATTAGCATTGACAGTCAACGTGGCAAAGTTGCCAGCCTTCTGGGAAAGCAACTAGCGGAGGACGGTGCGGTGGAATTTTATGACGCATGCATGTAAATAGTCTAGACTCGTATGTTAAGGGGTTATTTATTTTTATTAATGTGTTTTTATACATTTTTTAGTTAGTTCATGTGTTTTTATGTACGTTATAATGGCAAAAGTGCCTATACTAAAAATAAATACTTATTCTTTAAGCTTGTATTAAATAAGTAAAATACTGTTCAAGATTTTACATACATACACTTGCGCTTTTTATCTTCGAATGGGGCAGACATCATCATCATCATCATGATCAATAATTGAATAAACCACTGCTGGACATAGGCCTCTCCATAGAAAGGAGGTTTTAGCCTACTATACCACGGTGGCCAGACGGGTTGGTACAGGGTTTGTGTCAAGTTTTCCTTCTCTTTGTCGTAGTTTGCTGCTTTAATCAGCTCTTACGACACCCACGGTATGAATAGGGGGAGGTGACACTCCATATTCTTAATCGGTCACCACACGGGCAAGACATAGGGCGGGGCAGACGTGGGCGTAATTAACCGCCCACATTTTTCCAACTACAATTTAAGTTCCATTTACGTAATATCGCCGTTAACTGGGCACATATACATCTAAATATATACACTTATAAATTATCAAATATACAAATATTAATATAGTCATAAATATATAGTAGATAGTTATAAAGTTTTAACTCGAAATAATATTTTTTTCCCATTCCAGTTTAAAATATGTTTGTTATTCATTCCAATTATAGTAAGCTTGTCAACATCCACGGTCAATGTAGTGCAGAAATAATAAACAATAAATGTTAGTAAAATAACAACAATTTAAATTCCAATATTATGATGATTGTCGCGGCCACCGCACCGGGCGGTAATTTCTGAACAAAAGCTTAAGACAAGGATTTTAAAAAACGAATGATCTTGCTTCGTTTCCCTCCATTGCTTCGTAAGATGTTCGTTATTAAGATAGTCATAGACTATTCGTTACAAATACTTTCTTTACTAGTTAGTTTCCTCTTTTTTCTAATGGAAGCCGACTAGGAACGCGCTACAGAAGTTAGCGGTGCTAAACAGTGCTGCTAGCCTAATATTTCTGTTGTAAGTTCAGTACTACTCCATGGTACAAAAGGTGTAGATTTATTTGGATTTACATATGTAATCGGATATTTATGCCATCACTCACAAATAGATACAAGTCGTAGTCAACATTACTGTTAACGTTGTTAAAACTTTATGGCAAAGTACTTTTAATAAAAAAGTTGTAATAATACCTATAAAAGCATATATACATACATATATACCATCATCTCCAAGAATCATCAGTGTCTCATTTACAAGTAACTTATCAGTGTAGATATTGTAACTATGACTAAGGACTTGTCCGTTCGTATATTACAACGCCTATAAAACACATTTACAGGTAGCGTATATCAATTTTATCTCGAAAAACGGTGGTATGCAAACAATGAATGTTTTCACAAGGTGCCAGTTCACTGTGTAGTTATCTTTAACACACACTACTACTACTGAGTTTTTATTACTCTGATAACGTTACTATAAACGCTGGCCTTTTGAAAGAATAATGAACAAATAACCTATTTCAATCTTTCTATTCAGACTCACCGACATATCAACGAGCGATTCACGTTAATTGTTAAAAAGCTCGCTAGATTAGACAACATGAATTACTTAAAGAACATTCTGTATGACTACATCTAGTTTTCAAACATAACATGACATTTTAATTTAAATGCTTAAGTTGCAACTTAGAGACATTAGCGCGCATCTACTGACTTGAATATAAATACGATGGGATTTAAGTACTTCATCATCATCATCAACAGCCATTAGTAATCCACTGCTGAACATAGGCCTCTCCTTAGAAACCAAGTTTTGGCCTACTATACCATGCTGGCCAGACGGGATGATATTGCTTTTATTTCAAGTTTTCTTTCTCTTTGCGTGCTCTTAGTTGTTCTGCGTAGATTGCTCTTTTACGACACCCACGGGATGAATAAGAGCGTGTTCTTAATTCGTGACTACACGGACAGTGGTACGTTAAGTATAATTCTGTATATATGGTCAATTCGAGTCAAGTGCACTGATTCTGGATTTATTTACTGTAAACATATATCCCTCCATCTCTATCTACAGCTATTTACTCAAACTTGGGTCTCAGTCTCTATATTACAAGTACGACGATATATTCCGCTGGACAAAAGTCAGCCTTCCGTTCAGTATGTTGCGTACCTCCTACCTTTAAAAAAAATCTCTTTGTAATTATGCCTGATAAATTATTAAATTGAAAACTAAGTCGCAATATTAGTGCTCACGGCCTTTACTAATAAATTATTTTGTATGATGGTTTGATATTGATATCAAAGAAGAACCTTCTTCTTTCTTTGTCATTCACAAATTCGATAATAATCTTTTGTACAATCAACAACTAAATTTATTACAAGCATTTAAGACCACATAAACGTATCGATATATTTCATAATATGTAATTCGGCAACAGAAAATCTGTGAATTTGGCTTTATTGGGGCCTCCGAGTATAGAACATGTGTTTTTCATTTTCAGAACACCTGTCATATGTAAAGTCTTGTGTACTTAACGCTTTAGTAAACATTAGAAATGATCGTAGTTTGATTATCCGTGTTGAAGTAATGACAAAATTGTTTGGTTAGCCACAAATTCTTCATTTTGATGTAGTTATGACATTCTCCACGCTACCGTAATTTATTTATAAAATATGCAAGTTAATAGCTAATGCAATGAAAGTATAGTTATAACTTATTTTAAAAAACAGGATGTTCTTAATAAGACGGTTTCTTTTGTTCTCTTACTGCGTTATGGAAATTTAATCTTTTATCATCAAATTTTCCAAAGAATCATGTTTTATTTCCATACGCATGAGAGTTTCAACTTCTAAAAGTGTTTGAAAGATTTTAATTGGGACGGAAAGCACACGCTAATGGTATGATCAGAATGATACAATAGTAATTCACTTACGAATTAGCAATTGTTTTTAATATTAGGAGTTAAAGTTTGAAATTGACGTTTAAAGAACAATACAAAATAATTTAAGATAAAATATACTTATTCAATCAAAGTATTTACTCTTCTTGTCCATGCATTTCTGATACATTTAGAATATAATATCATTTTAACCTTTGCCGTAGTACTTTCAGAATTAATTGTGGAAAGACAATTTGTACTCTTTTTAAGAACAAAAAATTACATCGGTGTCTATACAATTTATTGGCAAAGTGAAGTCTTGCGCTATCATGGACCAATAATGGTGAAGAGCGATTAACTTGTTCTACCGCGTTACTCCCACGTCGGCATTCGTGTTTGCAAATTATTCTGATTATTGATGTAGCCAAATTCACCTTTAAATCTGAATGTAATAAAAAAACGGTGTGGCTATGGAGTGTCGGAAAAAAGTCTTGTTACACATTTTTCGGTCTCGCTCCCATCCGCTCAAAGCGTGGAACTTGCGATTAGGAACTTCGTTCCAATAGTAAAAAGATATGGGTTAATCAATGTGAACAGTGTTTAAAGTGTGCCCGTCTGCTATGAAGCAGGCCCTGATCAGTAAAATTGCTTTTAAAAGCTATCAATATATATATATAATATATAGTACCATTTAACACAGGCAATTATCATCATCCTTTCCTATCCCTAAAAAAGAGATGTAAGATAAATGAAGATAATTATTATATCATCATCATCCTTTCATATATTATATCATCATCAGCCTTTAATAGTCCAGTGCCAGACATAGGCCTCTGCTTGGGAAGGAGGTTTGACCTACTATACCACGCTGACACACGCCAGACGGGTTGGTATAAGGTTTGTTCAAGTTTTCCTTCTCTTTGCAGTGCTATTGTGCTGCGTAGTTTGCTCCCTTAGTCGGGTCTTATGACACCTACGGGATGAATAGGGGTGGTGACACTCCGTATTCTTAATCCATTACTACACGGAACTTCTTTAGACTTTAATATAATTTACCGTAATAAAGTAATTATAAAATATAAGAAATGACTTAACCCGTCTTCTTAGTACTAAGTTTAAGCGCTTATAACGTAAAACGCAGCCAAAAAATTCTGCAGTTAATTTGCAAACATCTCAGCCATACACGGTGGAATAAAAAGTAAGGTGCAGCGGCCGCCGGTGTCTGTACCTGTCACCCTGAGCGAGATCGCGCCACACTCGTGTATGTAGCGACCACGAAAGGTAGTCTCACACGCTCGCTTGACTTACCAAAGGCCTTTGACAGTTCACTCAACAGTCGCTCGGCAGTTCGTCTTCGGAATTTTTCAATTAGATATCAAATTAAACTTTCACGGTGTTTTATTCCAATTTCGAAATTGTGCGGTCTAGGTGAAGTTATAAGGGAACAGAACTCGATAGTGCTTAAAAAGTTATTTTAGCCGGCATTATGAAAACGGATTACGCGATGGATGAGATGCAGAAGAGTAAGTTGAATTTTATAGTATCGGAATTATGTTATTGCAATTTGTACCGGTATTATCAGAGTATTTAGATTTTATCGTAGGCATGCGTGTGCGCGTGCGCATGTTAAGTATGTATTGATACCTACACATGTTTTTATACTGTAGACAGTAATTACAAGTATAATCTGCTTAATTTTCTAGTAAGTAATTACTGTAATCTACTAAATTAATATAGTACGCAAATAGAATTGATATAATACTGCAAAAATAATATCTGGTGTTGTAAATAAGTAGACAACGTCATCATGATACCCGCAACTTAAATGATACCGCATTTTGTATCGGTGTAAATATACATTTATTTTACGATTATTTCATGATTCACATTGTCTAAGTGTTTGGTAAAAAAATTAAACGTACTACGTACGTAAAGTACTAGAAGACTTGCATAACATTCTAGCGCGAAAAATGCATATCCTTAAAATAACGCAACTAACTAGTTTTGTTTTGTAATAAAACAATGCTTTATATATTTATAATAACAAGTCTTAAATATTTAATACCTTTCGCTTATGCCTGAATATTTCATTAAACGTTTAAAATGTCTTGAGTATTTATGGATGTTAAATTTTATATGCGCTTAAGCGCGCGTAAGCTTATGCTTACAGTTTTTTTTTGTTCGAAACCAATATGAACCGTTCCATCAATCCAAAAGTACGAGTATATGGCGGCTTTGGAAACGCGTCCTAAATCCTTTTTTTTGTGCCCTATTACAAAGAGATAAAGACTCATTAACATATTGATATTATGTTAATTTATAACCCACATGAATTAGGAAGAAATATTCATGGGTTCGTTATCACGAAGGACGAGTAATAAAGCCCCTATGATTTATTTTCAATCATTATATTCCTCCTGCGACCATTAACACTGCATCAGATAAAATCTATTCCTTACTGGTTTTTGCGTAATTAAATGTGTGTTGTGTACTTCCTATGTTGATAAAATTACAAGTATCGTCAGTATATTTTCATTAAATTATTTATAGAATAAAAACAGCAATGTAAACAAATCTTGTATTTTTTCCCGGTTATTTAAAGATGTTAATTTAACTCGTATACTTAGCATTTTGTATATATGATGTGTACAACCGTTAGCATTAACAGTAGGTAGAACGTTTTTATATACCTATAAATGTTTTAAACATAAAATTCATGTCAGGGCCATATTGAAAGAAAATCAACCCTATGCTGATAGGGTTGATTTTCTTTAATAGCTAGCTAGGTAATAAAAGTGTAGATCTAGATAGACTAGGCGTTGCAATATTTAGGCAATTAAAGCTTATTTCTGTGTTTTATAACCCTTTTTATATTTTTATTGGACTTATTAATATTTATGTGTCTTTTAGAAGTCAATTTACTATTTAAAAGTTTTTAAGATAAAACTGTAAACATATTTTTTTTACATTTGTTACGTTTACTTAATTATGTGCATTAAGCAAACGTAATTCCCTATAACATAACTTATATTCCCTATCCCTGATGGCATGGCATTTCCATAGGCAATGGACAACAAAAACTTGTTATAAACATTTAACGACAGCAGGTTTTATTCCTGAGAGCTTATAAAAATGCACACAAGTCTTGTAAAGAGTCCACGACATGTTTTAAAATAAACCTATTCCTAATCTACAAATAAACTTATACCGGATCACAGTAAAACTTTTAGTAAATAATTCTATAAGTATTTAACTATATTTACATAAATTAACGCACTTAGAAAAGGTATTAAGTACACACCTTCGAAATGCCTGACTGATTAACGTTAATTCCCTTAAATATAATTATATATTAGTGAAAGCGATAGATTAAAAGTAAATAATTTTATATTCAAACCGTAAATACTTTCAATTCTAGATTGCTTTTCCTAGAAAGCAGAGCCAAAGTTCGCGTAGATAAAATGCAAATATTATGATATCTAAACTAGGAAGGTATTTTAAGTAGTTTTAAAATTTTTAATTTACTAATTAAAAGAGTCTACAATCATTAAGAACCGGTGGCTATATTTATTTTGCCATTTTGAAGCAAACTTTATTCCCATGGTAATTTACAAATTAAGCAGGTGACTAATTTTGACTCGTATAAAGTGATTTTATGACAGAAAAATATTGTTTCCCATCTGTTTAGTTGTTAGCGTTTATAACTTAAATACTTACAAAATAATAATGCACTCCCAGAGCAGTCAAATTTTGGAAGTATCTAGATATTCTTAAAGAAGTCTATTCTATTTATTTACCGAGATTCTTATAAAACTTTAAATCTATTAGTAAGCATTTCAATTATATTTTTTGTATTCGTAATACATATCTTTTATATTTTTATAATAGATTTAATGTTCTAATTTTAATTTATCACTAGTAGGTAGGTCACCTTCTACTGCAAAATGAAACAATAATTGATCTAGCGATAGCATAGCGGATAAGTAATATGGAACTACTATTTAAAATACTTGCATTCTAAATACGAATATGCTATTTTATTATTTGGTTACTCCTGGCACAGAATGCCAGTACTAAGCAAAAGCTTAAGACATCATACCAACAAATTTAGTACATTAAAATAAAAAATGAAATCAAATATATGAAATCAACCTACTTTTAGCGAAACATTAAATTCCAGTTTTCCTAACACATATAGTTTATTTTTACGACTCATAAAATAAAAAAAGGAAAACACTAATTTTATAGGACCAGAGAACGTAAAAATGCAATTTATTAAATTATTCAGGCGTTGATATATTCCTACATCCGTCATTCTGCATCCTGTCGTATATCTTCTTCAAAGTAGCAACTTAGAATACCAACTGCGCTTGTTCTATTTAACATATCTTTAAATAAATCTAGTCTTTCTGCAATAAATTTACTATCACTTTACATTCTTTGAATTCCATGCACTACAATAATTTATTACTGTAATTTTGTTTTATTATTGAATATTTTTAATTAAAAATTTATCGCTCTATTTAATTTTACAAAATTAATTATTAATTCCAAATCAATGTCAGATTTCTAATCTATACAAATAGTTAAAATTGAAGTGTCCGTTTATAATGTCAAAATTATAGAAGTCGCGGGTACTAGCTAGTTTAATATAAATGTAGCAATCTTTACTAACTACCTGTTTTCAGATTTTATGATTTGTTCGTCATTTTATCGGATGTATATTCAATACAATACTTCGCGGACTTCGCGTAATATCGGGTATATTGTATGTGTAATGTGTGTAACAATTCTTAACGGTACTTAACTATAAACGCTATATTATACATTTCTAAAATCACAAAATTGTCAAAGGTCAAGGAAAAGCAAAGCAGTACGCCATTTGGCTTTCAGAAAAGAGATAAATAATTTCAGTAAAGAAACGTACTTTATTTAAGTTTTTTCAAAGCTTAATTATCAGTAATTGCTTAGGCACTAAACTAAAATACAATTGATGAGATTTACAAAAGGCCGTATCGAAACTTCCTTTGCCACGCTTGTCTATTCAGTAAACCGCATCAAACCACTAAATCTTAAAAAAAATCGCTTTCGGTCTTTTACTTCCTTTGTTTATTAAGAAAACGAAGAATATAGTTATATCTGGTTGTTCATATCCTAATATTATAATATGAAGTGGCTTTTCAAGGGATCTCTCAAATACGACTTATACTGATTCAGAGACAGACACGGCATAAATTAACAAGAACTGATTACAAATTTAGTTTTTCTGTCTGGAAATACTTCTAAATAAAAATGGAATTCTAATCTTCGGTAATCAGAATACTTAAGAACAGTCAAACTTATGAAGAGGAAGCCAGTCAAACTAAATAGCTTATATTTTGTCCCTGGAAAATTAGAAAAAAGCATATACTGCTTTCTTACTGGAAATGAAATGAGTCACCGAGAATTTGAACAGAGGACAACATGTTTGTTTTAGTTTATTTACTAAGGAGGTCTGGGTCTATATTACACATCGTGCTTCCGTCGACCAATAACAAGTCCAAAGACTAAACAAATATTTTGAAATTATAATAAGCTCCGATAAAACTAATTTTATGTTATCAAGACCGGTTGTAGCTATACTATTTGGGGCATCAGTTAATAGAAATGAACTCATTAAATTTTAACGCTTCAATTACGTACGTTATTAAAAATCTTTTGTTTGTACGTAAAATAAATCATGCCACGAAATACAATAATGTTTTGTCTTACAATTCAAATTCAATGCAATTCATCAAGTCCTATAAATAATTTAAATAGGGCACTTTTTTCAATCACAAACTCTAAGGCCAACATGTTTTAGCTGCTGCAGAGTTAGCCTTAGAAATTGCCCAACACATCGATTCGATCTGCTTATCCTTGGCTGGGCACCTTAAATTTCAGAAAGGGGGGTTAAATTATTCATATTATTCCTTGTACTAAAACTTTGACAGTTCCATAGATAGTATTTCTGTAATTGTATTATTTTTATGTAAGTAGAAGTAAAAACGAAATTCTCTTTTCACTTATGGACAGAGAAATACACATTCAAAGGGTAATGTTGTAATCTTTTAGATACTTGCTATCATTTAAGCATTTACACTATCTTTAACTCAAACTGGTATCTTGGAGAGATGAAATCAGATAGCGTTAATTCTTATTGACTTTTAATGTTGTTTAGGTTGTATGAAAAGCCGACTTCTCTTAAGTCGACGTTCCTGGATAATCTTTCCTTAATATAATAAGTTTCAGAGAATTTGTTAAAATAATTTATCTACTATGTCATACGGATCAAAGATCAGAGGATCAGACCGACTAGCGTCAAACGTAACATTAGATTCTTCGTGTGATAAAGTTGTGTTACGTATATCTACGTGTGATAAAGTTATATTAATGATATGGCGATAATTTTATTTCTTTATGTTTAATTACGTTTTCAATCTTTGGATTAAGTAAACACACATGAGATGATCAGGAACTTACTAGTATTAATGCATTAATGCATGCAGTAGTATTTGCAACTAGACTTTTATTAATGTCACCCCGTGAAGTAGGGTACTATAGTTGGATATATATATATACATATTTTTATTTATTTGGACAATCAACAAGAACATACACCTTAAAAGCAAGAGTTACAATGGCAGTGGTATACAGGCATTAGTGCTGCAGAAATCGTTAGGTATACCAAAACACATAGAAAATCAGTGTTTGCAAATTATTGTTTCCTTGGTTTTCACCGTGTGGGTTACTCTCCAATATCATAACAAAATTTATGTGTTAAAATTCTTTTTTTTTTTATTGAATCTTACCACATAATTATTTCTATTTACATTACTCCTAAGCATACAGGCTTTGGTGCACCTGACTATGAATACTCTTTTGTATCTCACTTACGTGTCGCAGGCTTACTAATAATTTCTCTTCTGTCGGTCAATCTTCTCATCTTCTATCGCAAAACCAGAAGTATAAGCTCCTTTTCTTCTTTTACAGGGACCAGCTCCATCATCGGCGTGGCCGACATTACAGAGAACAAGCTCCTATGGCGACAACTGGTTGCGGAGCTGGCTGGCACATTCCTCCTCACCTCCATCGGTGTCGCCGCTTGCATCGGCATAACGGCCTCTAGTGCTCCGGTTACAGTCAGCATTGCGTTGACTTTCGGTCTTCTGGTCGCATCTATTGTGCAGGTCAGTACTAACTTTTTATGAACATGAATCGAACTGCACGGATGGCGTAGTGGTTAAAGTGGTCACCTCGCCGCTTGTTACTGAGCTGAGTGTTGTGGGTTCGATCCCTACATGGGATAACACTTTTTACTATCTACAAATTGTTGTATATTGTTGTCTCCTGCGACACAGGATATATTCCTAGTGCAGGAATTGTATTTAATAAATTAAAATTGATCGTAGAGTGTTCAATAGATACTAATAAAAATTTTTTTAAGCGTCGACTTGTAAGTAGTCGCCGCAGTTGGCGGTTAGGTGGTAAGGTTATCGTACGATTATCAAAATCTTTTAATCTGTACTGTCCGTACTCTTTATGGCTTATAGAGGTTATAGGCCATAGACACTTCGATCTATCAACATTCGATTCGTAAGTAGGTTGGTATCTCGGTTAGAGGTAACTTAATTTGATATAAGATTCATTCAAATATGTCGCAACAGTAAAATTATAGTTTTTCAAATTTTAGGTTTAGAAACCTTAAGATTAATTAAAATAAAATAAAAAGATAAAATGAACACATTATACACAAATAAAATGTTTATTTGTACAAAGATTAAGTTCATTATCCAAAAAATAATAATTGAGAAATGAAAATATATCGAAACATTGTTATTATCGAGTTTGTTGCGGATATTAAATCAATACCACAGTTATTTATAGTAAAACTGTTACAGAAATTACTGTAAACAATCGATTTTAGTACAATACATTTAAAATCATTTTCCCTGACTGACTGACTTTATCAACGCAGAACCTACACAACTGTGGCCACAAACTTGGAATTGCGGCAGCTGATGCTTTTTATGCTGTAAGCACCCACTAAAAAAACATTTTCGAAAATTTCACCTCTAGGGGGTAAAACCAAGGCCGAAAGTTGCATTGAAGTTTGTCATTTTCAAAGTTAAAACACGAAGTGGAATAAATTAATACTACACCACTGGAGATTCGGATGAGACAATCCACAGATTACGCAAATTACCTACCTGTCTATCTCGCTTACGGTCACTGATCTATAATGGTCGTGGCATGATCTTCAATAACTTAACAGCATCATCAGCATAAGGAACCAATAGTTTAGATCTCACTACTCACCATCGATATCAAGTAGGTACAAAATAAATAAAGATATAAATATATATATACGTATAAAAAATAAGTTGACATTGATTTGTTGCTTATGAAAATGAAAGAAATAACTTTATTTATAAAGATGAATAATAATCGCTATCACATGTTAAACAGGTATTGCATTTCAATCATAAATTACACGTCATGTTGTCGTTACTTTAATAATGTTTATGTATGAGTATGGAAATAATATATAATGATTTTACGGTGTAATGCTAGAACATTTTACTATTAGCCACGCAGATGAAGAGTGTGTGTCGTATGTTTTACAAGTTTTCGACGGATGTAGATAGAATGTAGAATATGTATCGATTTAAATATATTAAACGACAAATTAATTTATTAATACATGTCATAAATGCTTTCATAAAGTGTGTGTACATATAATAATAATAATTTGACACATCTCACATACGACCGTCTGATCCCAAATTAAGCAAAATCTGTGTTGTGGTAACCATGTCGCTGATAAACACACTTATATATTTGTAAATGCATACATATTGTAGATAAATAACATCCAGACAGAACAAATGGTCATTTTCATCACACAACTATTTGTCCTATGATGGAATTGAACCCACGACCTCTTGCTTAGTCGTCAGGGTCACCAACCATTGGACCAATGGGCCAATACTCATACAATACAATCAATATATGTACTCTCAATAGCACCATAAGAAGAAAATTTTTCTTTAACTGTACTTTAATAAATTACAAACAGGTAATTATGTTAATATATTTTAGAATTAATTCATTCATTACCAACTCGGAAACTAATGACTAATCGCATTACTTTATCAAAACCGGATAAAACTTTAATCGGATCTGTGTTTCACTTTTCTTCTCTTCTAGATGCAAAAACTTACATGTGCATTAATAATAAGCGTTTTTTAATAAACCTCACTTACATACGTTACATTTCTTTCCTATCTCATGTGTCTAAAGAGTTTAACAAAGAAATAATGAACCGCTGTTGAGTTGCCCATTGAAGACCTGATAGTGGTCCGACATCCGCCCCGCGCCGCGGTAAGAAATGTAACTATGACTTAAAGTTTTAGAAAACAAAGTTTCTTATTGAACTTCGCTCTTATTGTCTAAATTTTACTAGCACCTTCGATTTGCGAAAATTAATGTTAAAGAATGTTATAGAAGAGTGCAATAATAAAACTAATAGTGCAACAAAAAAAGCGTAAAAAATAAAGATAATAATATAAAAGAAATAGTAGAAGTAGTAGGAAATGCAAGGTAGAGCACTAAACAAGTAATTAAGGAGCACTGCAAATGTTAAAAAATAACAAATATTACTGTGATGCCCATGACGGTGATATTTTAACATAACAAAGAAGAAAAAAGCAACATAACTCTTTTAGACATACCAATTTACCATTACCATTTTGTATAATTTTAAAATAGCTTCAGAAAATCTCGTTGTAAATTAAATCATTTCAAGACACAAAGTAAACCATTAAAAATAGTTTCTACTATTGGTTTTCTACACAGAACATCATTCATCTGTAGATAGCTATTTTTTTTTAAACTTGATTGCCAAGCTTTACAGCTTTCTCTTGCTTTAATTAAAAAGTATAGCGTGGGTACGTCCGTATATAAACACGTACGAGTACAGTACTGGGATATAATTTTCGATTGATCCATCATTATCATGATAACTTCTCCATAAAAACATAGGCTTCTCCCATTGGCTTTCTGCATCATCCGACAAACACCAATCATTAGGACGTTGTCTATACATATTGTTGATAGATATGCTAAGGTGTGCTTTCTAGATCATGATCTTCATTCCAGAACTTTACACCGTGCTGGTCATCTGTTTTTCTTATCCTTTTTTATTTTAAAGGCGTCTATTAGTTTAAAAGATAGGCGTATTTATCGAAAAAATAACATTTCTTGAGCCGAGGTATCTGTATAGTTTTTTTTATGTTATAGTGGGCAACGAGTGAGTGGGGGGGGGGGGAGGGCTGGTTACTAATAAAAAAAAATACAGAAGTGTTCCACTATCCAACTAGGATATATAGCATACTTGAATCTATCATCAGATAAGTTTCAAAATGCCAAATCATAGTTCTGTTATTCAAACTACAAACCTATACAAAGTATCATTTCGATAAGACAATTTAAAAAAGTCAAAATTGATTGCAAATATTTATAAGGCTGGTTAATTACAAGTGTAGCTAATAAAAAAAAGCGTGTAAATATAAAGTCTTTAAATGTACAGCACGACTAAAGAACGGTTTTGACAACTATTTACTTTAAGCTTTATGTCCGTTATATAACATAAATTATAATAATATAATATTCAAATATCTTTATCATATGACAACATGAAGATAATAACAATAAATAACAACATAAACACACATCACACGTCACGAGTCTCATAAGCTTCTTGTCTTGCTATGACAGCTATGTTTACACAGAACTTTATCGCAAAAGAAACACTCTAAAATCAACAATCAACACTGCTTTAAGCCATAATCTGCTTGCACAAACATTACCGAGATAATATCCGGTCTTGTACGATCTCTTAACGAGAGTAATAATAATCTGAGGTGTATTTATAACGCTCTCTAGACCAAAATTTGCCTTGTGCCATGGGTCCGGATCTAGAACACGAATAAGTATACTTTTGATTGCTTTTTTCTTGTAAATACATACATATTTTATTGACTGGTTAGTCTAGTTGTCTAGTCCCTGACTGCTAAGCTAGAGGTAGTGGGTTCTAAATCGAGAGTTTCCCGGACCCTCCTATCTCAGGCGCGAAGTGGCACACCGTGTGGTTTTAGTCGGTTCGATTTCCACACACCGCCCTGCTGCAAACCCCGGTGGGGTGACGGCCCAAGGGGGTTTCTACACGTGTCAAGTTATTATTATTATTATGACAGCATCAATACAATAAACATATTCATGCATACATATGTATAAAAATATGTCCAGAACGGGAATTGACCCCGTCCTCTCACGATGCTGCCATCTACACTAAGATCGACCACAAGTGACTATTTTAGTAACTAGAAACATAACTTATATTTAGGTATAATCATTATCAATACGAAATGTTTGGACTACCCGACAATAGCCAAGCTCGAGTTGACTCGACCATGAGCTCCATCCTTATGTTCAATGTGAAGTGAGGACAATGAAAAGAATACTTTTCTTTCTATTGTCTTCCTTCCTATCTTACCTACGATTTCCTTTCAATGGACTCTCAGTATTATCATCTTTTTCCGTGTGGGGATGGATTTAGAATATGGAGTGTCACCACTCCTGGACATCCCGTGGGTGTAGTAGGAGCCGACTAAGGGAACAAAACTACGCAAAAGAACAGCAACGTAAAGAGAAGGAAAACTTGAAACAAACCCTATACTAACGTGGTATATTACGCCAAAACTTCATTTTTAAAGAAAAGCTTAAGTCCAGCAGTGGACTTATAAAGGCTGTTGATGATGATGATTCTCATCTTTAATTCTACGAGAATGATACCAAATAACATTTTGCAAAATATGGGTATTTAACACCATCTGCCTATCCCTTTGACAATACAGTTGTAAGTGTAAATACTCGAATGTACGAGTATATAAATCGGACAATAAGCAGTTAATCTAAAAATTCCCACGCGGTCGCGCACCTACGACCAAACTGTATGAAATGTAACAAGTTACATTCAATTTCATTAAAAGGCCAATATGCAAAACAGGTAAATACATTAGCCTTGACATACGAACTGGTTGCCGAAGTAGCAAGGTACTTGGTGTAAAGTAAAATGTTACTTTAATAGAAGGTAAAATTCAATTAACATAAATTTAAAGATTTCCTA